GAGGAGACCAACGGGTGATCGGGGTGGGGGGGGGGCGCCCGCTTGCCAGCCAGCCCCGCCCCCCACTGCTGCCTGCCGCTGCCAGTCCCCTCCCTCTGTGGGGCGACCAGTGGGGTGATCAGGAGACCCCTGCTGGCACCTGCCTTGGTTGGCCTGGGACCTGCGAGCTGGGGGCAGCTCCTGCATTGAGCGTCTGCCCCCTGGCCAGGGGCCTGCAAGCTGGGGGCAGCTCCTGCATTGAGTGTCTGCCCCTGGTGGTTAGTGCACGTTATAGCGACCGGTCATTTCACAGGTCATTCTGCCGTTCCATTGATTTGCGTATTAGGCTTTTATTATATAGGATTTCTATGTGGTAGCTTCCTGGCACATTTGTGGGCTTCAACTGAACAATTTGTTTTAAATTGATAAAAGAAAAGTGCTCTAGGTAATTTCAATTTGGAGCTGCCAAAAGCTGTCCTCGCTCACTTGGGGTGTTGAACACACAATACAATATACAGATGATATATTACAGTACATCTGAAACCTATATAATTTTATTAACCAATGTCACACCAATAAATTCAATAAAAAAGTTTTAAAAAGCTGTTACCTCTCATTAAAGTGATGTTCTCTTTCTCTAAAATGTTCTTGCCCTTCTATCTCCACATGCCAGAATTCCATTCAAACCTTTATAGAAAGCTAAAAATAATCTCTCTAATTTATTTCATTTATTCAGCAAATATCTGTTGCATGCTTACTATGTTGCAAGTATTCTGAAACGCTGGGGATACAGGACCTGAGCTCTGACCTTATGGAGCTTACAGTCAGGTGGGGAAGAATGACAATGGATAATAATTAAATGATGGGGAAGAATAGGGTACAATGGGAGGGCAGTCAGGGATACTTACACTTGCTGGGGATGGGAGAAGACAAAAGAAGTCTTGAAGAATTTTTAAAGATGATACCTGAACGATGGGTAGAAATTGGGGAGTAAAAGGGAGGGGAAAAGAGAACAGTGTGTAGAAAACTATGGAAGTGAAAGTGTTGGTAAAAGCACCCTTGAAAAAGGCCTTTTTAATTCTTCCTTCTCCCAAGTAATTTCTCCATTTGATGAACTCCATAGCACTTAATATGTAACTTTTTACTCTGAAGGCAAAAGGTATGATTTACACACATTAGTCAGTAAATATGAATGTAGCTTCAGAAGGGAATGAGGCTTTATATGTGTCAATGCAAAATGCTACCTTAAAACATTTGAGGTGGGTTATACCATACTTCTCTTCAAAATAATAGGAAGAGCACCACCTGTCTAGGTGACTACAGAGACCAAAGCAGCATGGAGGAATTGATTCATAAAGTTCTGGAGGAAGTACAAAGTAATATAAGTTCAATCCTCAGATGTTACTTTAAAGGCAATTTCAGAAAACAAGGAAAACCTGGTAACCATCAGAAAGAAAAAATAGCTACTCTTATTTGCAAGAGCTTTTCTTTTTAAATAGTCTCTTGGTATTGGCTGTTCTTTGTGTGCACCCGGGTCTGAGTTACTGGTTGGGAAAGCCTTCTCAAACCTGACAAGCTCCTTTTAAAAGCAAATCATTTTTAAAAAAATCAAATGTTCAGCATGGCCGGTGTTTCTCAGTGGTTGAGCGTTAACCCATGAACAAGGAGGTCACAGTTCCATTCCTGATCAGGGCACATGCCCCAGTTGCAAGCTTGATCCTCAGTGCGGGTTCTACAAGAGGCAGCCGATTAATGATTTTATCTTATCATTGGTGTCTCTATCTCTCTCTCCCTCTCTCTTCCTCTCTGAAATCAATAAAAATATATTTTTTAAAAATTCAAATGTTCATAGCATGACTCAGAGTTTTACCATTTTGTTTTAGATGCATGTTCCGATTTTTTTATTTTTTTTTTGCCACTTAGCTGAGAGGAACAGCAGTAAATGTTGATAAAGAAGATAGTTTGGGGACATAACTGTTGTATTGATAGGCCAGAACAGATGATACTTTATGAACCTCTATTCTTCCTCTTAATTTATTATAGTTCAGCAGTTTATTCCTCGTTTGAGAAGGCATTTGGTTGGTCCTGTCATTTCTATAGCTAAGTAAGTAATAGTTCTCAGACAATGAGAAAATTTATGTAAATATGTTTTGGATATGGTAAATAGGAACTTATTTTTTATTATCAACTTGGGAAGTACTTTTGATACCAGTTTTTATTATTATTATTTTTAAATATATTTTATTGATTTTTTTACAGAGAGGAAGGGAGAGGGATAGAGAGTTAGAAACATCAATGAGAGAGAAACATCGATTCAGCTGCCTCCTGCACACTCCCTACTGGGGATGTGCCCACAACCAAGGTTCATGCCCTTGACCAGAATTGAACCCGGGACCCTTCAGTCCGCAGGCTGACGCTCTATCCACTGAGCCAAGTGGGATCTGGGCTGATACCAGTTTTTAATTGTCCTCGTCAAGGACAGAGATTACTTTTTTGGATGCTGTCTCTTAGAGTGGTGAGGTGTGACTGAAGTATGGTGAGATGTGGATACAAATTTCTCTAATTCGATGATTCTTAATATTTTGTTTATTAATCTTGTATTAATAGGCTTTGTTTTTATAAAAGTTTTAGACTTACAGAAAATTTGAGCAGATAGTACAGAAAGTTCCCATATACCTCTCCCCTGCTGTTTCTTCTATCTTACATTAATATATTTGCCACCATTAATGAATCCATATTGCTCATTGTTATTAACTAAAGCCCCTCTTTATTCAGATTTCCTTAGTTTTTGTATGTTATTTTTTTTAGTAGAGGATCCCATTCAGCTTAGTTGTCATGTTTCGCTGTCATGTTGGTTATATTCACATTACACTTAGTTGTCATTTTTCCTTGGGTTCCTCTTAGCTGTGGCATTAACCTTCGTATTTGGGTCATGAACTGGTTTGAAAATCCGCTGCACACCGTGCATCCTCTCCAAAGAAAAATGCTCCTGCTTCAGATGTCTGCTTGAAGGGAGGTCCATGCGTCGCAGGTTTACAAGCCCTGCTTGGGAGGAAGGGATGGTCTTTAAACCACCCCCTTCCCCACATTTGGGCTCCATCAGGCTCTACCTCTGAATTACTGTGTGACTTTTTTGCAAAGTTGTTTTGTGTGTGTGTGTGTGTGTGTGTGTGTGTGTGTGTGTTTTCCCCCTACACGGGCCTCAATTTCACTGTCTGTGCGGTGGGGGGTGTGTTTCACCTGATGGCACCGTGGAAGGCGGTAGTCACCTAGAGCTGTCAACATCTGGGGCAGACTCATAACATGACCACGCTAGGTCATGCCAGGGAAGTGATGGGCTTATCGATAAGGAGGTTGCAAAGACTCTGTGGGGAGAAAAACACAGTACCCAGTTGGGGAGAAAAAAACAGCACCTGGGTTCCACCTTAGTTCTGTGGATTTTGTTAAGTAATTTCCTTCCTCAGCTTTGCTTTCCTCATCTGCAAAACTGGGGGCCCCTTCTTGTAGTAGTTATGAAACTCCTGGGAGCATCAGCCTAGAAGGTACCTAGTAAGAATTCGTGTGATGATTTATGATAAGAAAGAACAAGGGATGGTGGGTCGGTGCACGGGTGAAGGGCGGAGCTGAGGACTGTGAGGCAGGCCTGAAGGCTCGGGATAGAGGAACCTAGCTCACACCTTGGCTCCCCGACCACACTAGTACATTGCAGGGCGCAATTCCACCTCCATTCCGCCCCCGTCCCCGCCCCACTTTACTGCCCCGCCCTCGGGCTTTGAGGCGCCACACTTCGCATGGCCGCCGCGACACGACGCTTTCTCCCCAGCTAGGGCCGCGCGCGTTCTTGCGCCGACACCTCACTCCGGTCCCGCCTTTGGTCTCTTCCGATTGGTTCATCACGTATGTGACGTATTCGCCCCCCCTGCTGATTCCACCCGCCTCACTTCCCCCGGCTCCGCCCCGCCCCCTCCTAGCTTCTGACTGGAGTCGAAACCAAACAGGCTCTCGTCTAAGCTTCGCGGGAGGAGCCGGGAGAGCAGGCTGAACCAGGAAGACGCCGGCTATG